GACAGGCCAGTACCCAAAAGGAAGAGTGGGTTTATCCATTTGCCTTTGGTATGGCATCGTCACCCCAATCTCTTACCTCAACGGTGGCCTCAGGGGCTGTAGGTTTAACCTCCTTTTCTCCTTCTGCATTCTCTTCTTCTTTGAGGCTATTTTCCTCTATTTTTATCCCATCCTCTGCAACCAATAGAAAACAATTAGGAAGGTCCTAGATCAGAGAAGTCATGCCTTCTCAGTCTGTCTCATCTTAAATTGTCCTCTCGTGCCTTTAAGAGCCAGCCCTATACTCAGGACGGCCCTCCTAAACTGAGAGGGTGATTGCTGTGTGTCCTGCCAGACTCCCCTGTTTGTACTGAGTACAGGGAAGCAGAGAAAGCATAGGCAAGGACAAGAAGAGAGGGGCAGAAATGACAGTACAGGCAGACTTACCAGCAGGTGGGGCAGGTGCAGGAGTATTGGGTTGTGTGTCCCCTGGAGTGGAGGGTGTAGGAGTCTTTGGGGAAGGTGACCCTGGCTGGGACATTTTCTTGTTTTCCTCTACTTCAGCGAGTTCAGGCATACTCCAGCGCCCATTAACATGTTCAAACTCCTGAACCTATAGCAATGGAACAAGAAATTGAAGACGCAATTCCAGCTTTTACTATAATCCTACAGTCTCCCCTAGAAACCCTAAACAATGGAGAGAGGCTCAGGGCTCACCTTCTTGCGAATCAAAGACATGACGCCAATCCTAGTAAGGACATGCTGACGAGACAGGCCTTCTCGGGGGACACCATCAGCAAAGGTCTCAGCCCCATCTGCTCCCGGCTCACATAAATGCCGCATAAAAAGAGAGACGTAAGCCCTGTAGTGAACAAGTAGAGAAATGAGTTAAAACAGTGATCATGCCAACTCTTAGATCAGATTCTTTTGCACTAAAGGCTGGTCTCCAGACCCCACACCATGTCCCAGGTTCTCTTCCAGAGAAACTAGGAACACAAAGAGCCCTATTATAATACTAAGAGCTTCACCTGCCAACTTCCGCGGAAGAAACAGCCCACTTCCCCACACAGCCTGGATCAGTGCGATGGAATGACCAAAGATCAGAAGCCCTTGCTCTACATCAGTCATTCCAGCTCTCAGCTTACTTGAACTCTTTCTCTGATTTGCCTCGCAGATCTCTCACGAGCCACTGGGTGGTAAAAGCATCCTGAGGTGGCATCCCATATCGCATAATTGCATTAAGAAAGGCTTTTCGCTGCCGAGCATTAAAACCAAGTACCTATGGGAAGAAGGAACCTCAGTGAGAGGGAGCAAGTCTTACTCTACCAAAGACCCAACATCAGCACTCACCCACGCCTCCTTAGAATCATTTGGCACTTACTTCAATATTCCCACCAACGCGGGCCAACAGAGGAGGCAATGGTTTATCTTTATCATTCCGCAGGCCCTTGCGACTGGGCCTGCGGGGAGCTGCAAGAAGAAAAAAAAATGCATGAGTGACACTGGTAGGGGTATTAGACAAAGCAGTAAACAATCAGCAGAAAGGCACAGTCCTTACCTTCTGAACGTTCATCAAAGTCTTCATCACCTTCCTCTGAGGCCACTGAATAATCGGACTGGTTGTCGGACTGGTCGTCCTGCCAATCTGGAGGGAGAGAGGGCAGATGAGCGGGGCCCACTGCTCTAGTGGAACGGCCCATGGGTGGGGGGCGGGGCCGGCCACACACACCTCGGTCCTCCTGGGAGCCATCATTGTAGTTGACCTGTTTACGGATTCTTTTTCCTTTGCCCAGATTTCGGGCTAGATCTTCTTGCTGCTGCTCATAATGGTGCCGCAGCAATTTCTCCCAGTAGTCAGGATCCACACTTTCTTCCTGTTTTATGATTTCCCGTTCTACCTCCTCTTCCTCCTGGGACAGAGGGAGGGCCAGGACTCAGGGGTGCTGAAGTCAGCACCACCAGCTACCCCTGGTCCTCACAGTTCCCATTCTGCTAACTCCTTTTCATGACTGGACTCTGAAAAACTTGGTGTGCCTGCTTGGACCTAAGAACTTAAAAGAAATTGAATTGACAGGACATGGCGCCTCATAATTATGTATAGATCAGCAGTCAACATAAAGAAAAACATAGGATGGAGCTGTTATCACACGAGAAGGAAGAGGAGAAGTGTGCTTTCTTCTAATCCTTTATTGACATGTACACAGCTGGGAGACAGCAAAATGTAGAAGAGAGATTAGAGCCTTAGCAAGGCAGAATGGAGATGCTTCTGAAATCCTGCAAAAGATTTTCATAAGATAACACAGAAGGGCCACAAACACTTTGGTTCTTTATAAACATCATCAAAGTTTACCAATTGTGTGCAAAAAAAATTATATATTTTACGTCCCCATGTTTATGCTCCTCTGAAAGTCTTGTATTTTTTTCAGACATTTCAGGACCACTAATTCCAAATCCCTTGCATTAAACTACTAATAGGGCAATATTAGAAACCTAAATTTCCATCATTACGGAACTAATTAAGTAAATGTTGGGGGCTGGGAGTAGGCAAAATGGGTGAAGGGGGTCAAAAGGTATAAACTTCCAATTATAAAATAAGTAATGGGCATGTAATGCACAGTATGGTAACTATAGTTAATGATATTATATTGCATATTTAAAAGTTGTTGAGAGTAGATCTTAAAAGTTCTCGACTCGGGCCGGCCGAGTGGCGCGATGGTTAAGAACTGACTTGGAACGCCAGAGGGCCCCGGTTCGGATCCCATATATGAGGGCCAGTGACACTGCCCTNAATTTTTCTCAGTGACTCGGGCTCAAAACTTCAGTTATTTTTGGCTTCTCACTCCTTTGCATCTCAAATCCAGTTAAGTCAGGAGTCAGCAAACTACGGCAGGGGGCCACATCTGGCCTGCTGCCTGGTTTTGAATGGCCCAAGAGCTAAAAATGGTTTTTCACATTTTTTAAATGGTTGAAAAAAGTCAAAATAAGGGTTTGTGACACTTTGGGGGCCAGCTGAGTGGCTCAGTTGGTTAGGAGCGCAAGCTCTAAGCAACAGGGTCACTGGTTCAATTCCTACACAGGCCAGTGGGCTGCACCTGAGATGAGCTGCTGCTGAGCTGCCAATGAGTGGCAGGATGGCTCAGCTGGTGAGAGCACATGCTCCTAATAACAAGGTTACCGGTTCGACTCCCGCATGGGATAGTGGGCTACACCCACCTGCAACTAAGACTGAACAAGGCACCTTGAGCTGAGCAGCTGCAAGCTGCTGATGGGCGGCTGGATGGTGATTGGACTTGGAGCTGAGCTAGCTGTGCCCTTGACAGCTAGGACTGAAGGACAACAACTTGGCTGTTCCCCTTCTCCAATTCCCCAGCACTGTTCCCATTCCCCAGTTCCCCCAATAAAATCTTAAAAAAGTTTGTGACACTTCATAAAAATTACATGAAGTTCAAATTTGAATGTTGATAAAGGTCTATTGGAACACATTCATACTTACTCGTTTATCACCTACAGCTGCTTTCACACAACAACAGAGTTGAGTATTTGCAACAGAGACCATTATGTCCCACAAAGCCTGAAAGTTACCATCTGCCCCTTTAATAGAAAAGGTCTGCTGACCCCTACAATAAATCAGTAAATTGTCAATTCTTTGGTGTTTTATTTCCTTTACCTTATCTTTTTCATTTTCCACAACCACCAGCATTACATCCAAGCCCTTACTACCTCCTGACTATATGATAACTCTATCATTTCATGAATGTTCTATTTCCATTTCCTTTGGTCATATCAAAACTCTTCACAAACCTTTAATGGCTACCGATTAACTATAGGGTAAAGTCCAAATTCTCTTATCTAGTGCCAAAAACCCACCTACTGACCTCTAGCCCTTACCTCTCTCTTCAGCCTACCTCCCACCATCACCCAAGTGTTTTCTACAACCCAACTGGATTAATTTGCTATTTGTAAACACCCTAAGCTCTGCTACTTAATCCCTTTTGGTTTGAACAGTCTTCTGTTTCTGTCCAACAATTTCTATTACATTCATCAAAACTTAACTCAAATACCACCTTCTCCATGAAACCATTTATGAACTCTCTCCCCACTCCCCAAGTTCCCTCTGGAGAACTTATGGATTCAGTCATTTCCCTCCCAATACCCAGAACGGCGTTCATTTAAACTGAAAGTTCCTTGACAACAGGTACCATGCCTTATTTGTCTTTGTATCCTGTGCCACTCATTGCTTGGCACATAATGTTTGAAGGTTTATTAGTGTACATTTCTTACTTCTCCAATTATAATCAGCTTACGAGCCACATGTCTTGTCTTCATTCCCATTTTGATGGTCTGCACACAAGGTGCCCTCAATAAACATTTGCTGAATTCCTGAGTTAGGCTCCTTGCAGTCCTAGGCTTGTTAGCCCTAGTGATTCTGAAAACAGAGTTCTACCTTTGCATTTCCTTTTCACATCCACTCCACCCCTTATCCACACAGGTACTCTTCAGACCCAGAAAAAAGTACCACCAGCACACTGACAGTCGTACCTCCTCAAAGATCCAGTTCAATCCACCTCTGTACCTTTCCTGAACATGCCAAACTACTGTGTTCCCCGAACATACCCACTGCACTAGTCTGTCATTCATTAGACACAGTCATCTTCAGCCCTTGAACAGCTGGTTAATTTTCAAGTCTGTATGTCTTGATCTCTAAGATTTAAGATACTTGGGAGCAAAGCCTTTCATGGAATACAAAAAGTGAAGTACACAGAGCAAAGTAAACAATGTGGAAGAATGAACAGATTCCCTCCTTTGCAGTCCCTTCTGCACTTTAAGGGCTGTCACTTCAACACGGTATTCCTCCCCATCCTGCTCACCTTGAACCTTCGGGCTAGAAACTTATTCTTGATCTCTAAGAAATTGCCACGGTTCATTTCACCCTTGAAAGGCTCATTGAGGATGGCATAGCGTGGGTCATTCTGGATGTCCTGCCACCGGGCATAGCCATGGCTATTGGAAAATTGCTCAGGAAAAACAACAAGGAAAGTAAGAACCTCAAACTGTGGGACCTTCAGAAGCTTTCACCAAGAATCTCAGCCCAGACCCAGGCAAAGGATACTTTATGATGCCAGCCAGCAGCCAGTAGTCATGCCGTCGATGCCAGATCTCGTAAGTCTTCTTGGTGACTGTGGCTGCCCGCTCCTCATTCTGCCAAAGGGAGTGCAACTCTGAAGAGGAATTTAGGGAAGGTTGGGGAGAAAAAGAAACACAGACATCTGTGAGAATTCAAAAAGCTATTTATTCCTTCCCCCTGAGATAGCATCTTAATAGTATGCCTATGGCTTTCTAACACGGAACCCACGGGGCTATGCAATCAGCCTGGCCTTCCATCATCTACCGTGTTTCCCCAAAAATAAGACTGGGTCTTGTATTTTTGCTCCAACAATCTACATTTATTCATTTATTCATGTATAAATATCTACATTTATTCAAACAGCCATGTCTGGCTGACAATCTTAACTGGGGCTTATGTTTGAGGTAGGGCTTATATTATGAGCATCCTGAAAAATCATGCTAGGGCTTATTTTCCGGTTAGGTCTTATTTTTAGGGAAACAAGGTAATAGAGGTGAAGTCTCTGTACCCTGGTTTCTGACAACAACCCTAATTTCACCTCAGATCTTTCTAACCCCAGTGGGCCCCTCATTTTCATACCAGTAAAACCACCATCTGCAATGTTGAACATGAAACGCTGTTTAATATTTTTCTTCTGCTTCTCATCATTCAGGTCCTTGGGGGTCTCTCCATTCTGAAGCATCACCTCTTTTTTCTCTTCTTCTTCTTTCTTCTCTTCTACAGGATATGCAGAAAGAAAATTTCAGCT